GAATCGTAGGAATAAAGTTCATTACATCCATTGAACCATTTATCGCCTGTCGCCTAGATAGGTCGCATGCCGGAAAGACATTGAACGCTCTGTGGTCAAAATTGGAGCGCTGGCTGCTGGCTTTCAAGCAATGAACAACTTGAACAAATGAACGTTCCTTCCAACGCTCCAGGGCCACTCCGGTGAATTTAAAGATGCCGCCTGGTCGAACCAGAATCAAAAACAACTTGATTCTACGGAGCCTTCTCAGTCCGCCTTGAAGATCCAAACGCCCTTGGTGCTTTCGACCAGGCCCGCTTTGGGCCGGCGCGTGGTGCAGCCGACAGGATCTCTTTTGCGCTTGCCACAACCCAATGTCACACCGTCTGGGACAGAAATCCTACGGCGCTTTCCAGGAACAGGTGCATCTGAAACAGGCGGCGCTGCAGCCGCAGGAGAAGATTCACTGGCCACCTCTGCTGCGGCAGGACGCTTGAAACCTTTGCCGCGGCCTTTTCCAGAAGCCTTGGCCTTTGCTTTTCCCACAGCTTTGGGCTCTGGGACAGTTGCAGCAAGAGCCATTCCTGGAGGAGCCCCTTTCTCCAGCGCAGCATGGCCTGGCGGAGCGCCCTTCACACCTTCATCGGCAGCAGCCTGACCACGTGGCTTCAAAGGTTTCGTATCTTTCACCACAGCCACCTCCAAAGCATTCGCGAAAGCAAAACCTAGGTTCAGCTGTTCTTCCAAATCTTGCCCCACAGCAGCAGCTCCTGGTCCAGAAGGGAATTTGAAAACCCAGGAAATCTGTGGAGGCTTCCAGTGACCAGCTTCCATTGCTTCATTGTTCTCCACCTGAGTTGAATGAGATGACAGACTGGCTTGGTTGGTATAGATGAAGAAGTTGGAAAACACGAGACTATTGCAAGGAGGACTGATAACTCGCAGTTAAACGCATTTAGCCCATTGCCCTATATTGCCCTCCCGCAATGTGTTGGCCCCAAGACGACCAAGTCAATCACCTCAACCATAGGAGTTGACTTTGAGAGAGGAGAGGAGGTGAGGGCTGTGAAAACTGTCATGACATCATTCGTGCAAGTCAAGAATCCAAAGCCTTCAAGTACTCATAGGCACGGACGTGGCCCCATTGCTTCATGATCTCAGCGGTCTTCAGAAATTCTGAAGCTTGCCGTTTGGAGAAACGGACCCTAGGGATCCAAGGAGCCTGTGGTCGGGGCGGCAGTTTGCAGACTTGCTCAAAGGGCAGAAACATCACAGGGGCCTGGCTCAACTTTGAGCTTGCCATGTAGAGCTTCGGGAGAAAGATGACATCTCTTCCATGCGGGTTGAATACCTTGAGCCAATCTGGTGTTTCAATCTGGTCTTGCCAAGCCTTGGGCAGTTCTCGGCGCAGCAACTTCCAGGAATGGAAAATTTATTCCAAGTTTTGCTTGGTAGCAGCAGCGGTTTGGTTGATGCCAGTCA